AACATAGCAGCTAGATAATCATAAAAGGTAGGTAAACACAGCAGCTAGAAAAGCATAAAAAGTAGGTAAACATAGCAGCTAGAGAAGCATAAAAGGTAGGTAAACACAGCAGCTAGAAAAGCATAAAAAGTAGGTAAACAGAGCAGCTAGAGAAGCATAAAAGGTAGGTAAACACAGCAGCTAGAAAAGCATAAAAAGTAGGTAAACAGAGCAGCTAGAGAATCATAAAAGGTAGGTAAACACAGCAGCTAGAAAAGCATAAAAGGAGGCAATCGTAAAAGCTAGAAAAGCATAAAACGTGGATAAGTATAGCATCTAGAAAAGCATTAAAGGTGGATAAGTATAGCAGCTTGAAAAGCATAAAAGCTAGGCGATCGTAAAAGCTAGAAAAGCATAATAGTAAAATACGTGTTGAGATCTTGTTAAGAAAACGACATAGTTCTCGTTTTCCTGAGAAATGCTGAAAAAGAAAGATCTGGTAGTCCTTTCGGTGGGGACCTGACGGATGATTGCATCCGTCGAACTTTGAAACACGATGCCGGATTGTAGGAAAACCGGAAAGAATTTTTCTCCCGTCGACGGTGATGATTCGTAATGTTCGGAGGTTGCCCCAGTTATATTCCCGCTTTATTCTTGCCGCGATCTTAGCGTGGTGGCGACGTATTCGTTATTCAGATTGAATCGAGTTGGTGGTTTACATTGTGTTCGCGATTCAATCATGACGCGTTCACAATTGGACCAGATTGTGTGGCGTTCATAGTCCAAACCAGCTCGTATCGTGTTTCTGGCTTTGATCGCGGCGCTTTTGGGATTGGCTTCAAATGACATTGCGTTTGCGATTCAGATGAAACAAAAATAATGACAGGTGGTAGGAGAACTGAAAAGAATTTGTCTCCCGTCGACAGTGATGATTCGAAATTCTTTCGAGGTAGCTAAGGATCTGACCACTTCTTACAAGAATGCAATGCGATAAAACGAAACAGCCGTTTTAATTGCAATGATGAATACAAGAATATTTATTGTTTCTTTATTAAAAACTGGTTATAAGGATACTTATAGTCCCACTGGATGAAGATATCGTTATCAAGTGAACGAAAAATTGCTGTAAAATCGAATTATTTGATCAAAGGAGCAGTTTGCAAACCTAATGAAAGGCGTTGTGAATTTTTTATTTAAAAAACAGAAGTAGAAAAACAAGGGCAGATTTTTCACTACTATGTATGTAGGTTTTCTGCATAGATTTTTTTTTGGCTATTAATATTTGAAATCATTGATATTTATACAAATGAAGGGTGATGTTCGATGACGAGATATCATGGACGAATAACCTATGCCAACTGCATTCAAACGATTGTTTAGTTCAGCTGATATCCATATAACACTTGAATATGTTGTTCACATCGGCCAAAAAGATATCTGAATGTGCTCACCTGTTGAGCATGTCTCACACAAGACACAAACGCCTGTTGTTTGACATTATAAATTTTGGAATGGCTACCTCAGCACTAGGCGTGGGAGTAGCTAATTCTATTCAGATCGCTAAACTGGAAGCATCTGTTGAGGAAACAAAGAGCATTGCTAGAACGGCCATGGCCAACGTTCAGGTCTCTATGGCACAAACCGCATTACTAAAAGATGGCATGATATTATTGGGAGCTCACCTCAATGAAACCAATAAAGTAGTAAATAGTATTATTGAAAGATCAAATCGCCAGCAAGGCGATATACATGCTATGAACGAGCCTCTACTATACCTAGCTGGCAGAGTTGATCGACTGGAGAGCCGAGTGGAGCATAATATTCTCTATACAGCCATCAACGATATGATCCAAAATAAATTAACGCTTAAATTTGTGGCTCCTACTGAATTTGATGAGTTAATTCAAACCATTGTTTGGTTTGCATCTATGGCGAATACCACTTTCCCTACCGAAATTCCATTAACGTCTGCCATCACACAGCTTCTGATTTCTCAACAACTTACATTTATACCATGGCCACTCTATTCGGCAACACGGCCGATAATCGGCAAATAGGTAGAATCCTAATAACCTGTCACTTTGCTATGCCGGAAACAACAGAACCACCATTTTTGGTACACGAGCCAGTTGCTGTCCCGTTCTTTCATCGTACCAAATATGTTAAAGTAACAGAGATTCCTAAGTGTATTGGTACTAGCACGGATAATAATAGAACCATCGAATTGTCACAAGAGAATATTGCCGGATGTGTCTTTGACAACGTCATAATTTGCAGAAATACTCCGCCAATATATTCCTCAATAACGAATCAATGTCTAGAACAGATATTTCAAGGAGGAATACATCATCAATGTCTCACACAAATCATACCTCCGACCTCTTATTATTTTGCAACAAATTCAAGGAAAGTATTGGGCGATATCTTCCAATCAAAGTTTACATTGCGTTAGTGTTCCGGACCCAAAAATCTTCTCCGAACATAAGAGTCGATCAGGCGAAATCCCAAAGCTAGAGAGCGGAGAAAATACTCTTTCTCTGAGAAGTCGGGAAAAGGTCACCTTAACTGGGACTAACGACATAAATGTTAGGCTTCAGTCAGCTAAGGTAAAACACGACAACACAATGAATAGTGAATTAAGATAAGTTAAGGCATACTAACGCAAGTTCAGATTTGGTAAGGTAAGTTAATGTAGAGAAGTTCAGAAACTTTTAGATTTGGTAAGGTAAGGTAATGTAGAGAAGTCCTAAGAAGTTCAGAGAATTGCAAATATGGTATGGTAAGGTAATGTAGAGAAGTCCAGAGAAGTTCAGAGAAGTTCAGAGAATTGCAGATATGGTAAGGTAAGTTAATATAGAGAAGTTCAGAAACTTTTCGATTTGGTAAGGTAAGATAAGGTAATGTAGAGAAGTTGAGAAGTTGAGAGAATTGCAGATATGGTAAGGTAAGTTAATATAGAGAAGTTCAGAAACTTTTCGATTTGGTAAGGTAAGATAAGGTAATGTAGAGAAGTCCAGAGAAGTTCAGAGAATTGCAGATATGGTATGGTAAGGTAAGGTAATGTAGAGAAGTTGAGAGAATTGGAGATATGGTAAGGTAAGGTAATGTAGAGAAGTCCAGAGAATTGCAGATATGGTATGGTAAGATAAGGTAATGTAGAGAAGTTGAGAGAAGTTCAGAAAATTTAAGATATGTTAAGGTAAGGTAAGGTAAGGTGTAGTAGTTAAGATAAGATATAGTAAAGTAAGGTAGAGAAGAGAATTTAGTGTGAGATAACTTAAGATAAGGTAAAATGTAGAAGTTAAGATATAAGAAGGTAAGGCACGGTAGTGCATGATAAGGGAAGTTTTTATGGGGTCCAAAATATAATCAGTATGGAGTTACTTGCATCTGCTAGACGTGCTTACAAAATGGAAATAATTGAAAGATGATGGTTTGGTCCTGAGGCTTTCTGAAGCTCGTTCCGAAGACCATATTGTTTTATAAGTTTTTATTGTTGTTTTCTTTTAAATAGAATACAAAACAGGCTAGGTACCTTTCATCCCGAAGTTCTGAACTTGTTCTGATGTTTTTTGAATGAATTATGACTTTTTTAGTAATAGGTGAAAACTCTAATTTTTGAACAACTTGGTTTTCACCATATGTTAAAATCTTTTTTTAAGAATAAATACTGGCACTAGATTCATCATAATCGAAACTTATGTTTGCATGCATTGCTGAGATTCATGAGTGAAATGAAGAGCAGTCCTACGGCTCTCAGGAAAACCTCGTCCGCTGCGTAGTCATCAGAGATGAAGCACTTGCTTACGCTGTGTTTAGCGGAGGACACTTTAGTCCATGTGTTAGAGAACGAAGAAAATACTCTTTCTCTGACAAAATCAGAAAAAAGCCACTTTAACTCGCACTGACGACATAAATGTTATGGTTGAGTACAGTAAACTAGAATACGACAACACAAGGAAAAGTAACACAAGATAACCTAAGGTAATATAAGGTAAAGAAGAGAAGTTAACAAAAGCTAACGTAAAGCAAGGTAATGTAACGTGGCCTAGTACAGAGAAGTTAAGATAAGGTACCATAAGGTAACATCAAATCTTGCCACAGGAGTGAAACAAAGAATGCCGAATACAGCTATTTTGTACTCCTCAAACCAATATGCTGCATCACCCAAATACTTCCGCGACAGAAATACTGTTTAACCCCTCACTCTCATAATCCAACTACCCCCCCCTCCTACCGAGTGGCTCCAATATGTCTTTGCATCTTGATATCGAGCACTGCACACGACACGCTGATGTAGCGATACTGTGTAACTCTCAGAATAAACTCGATAAGGGGAGAAACTTGGTATTCTATCACCCTCCCTTTCCTCCCGTCACTTATGTTAGTCTATCATCTCTAGGCATGTCTTACCGCACGTCACCACAAAAAGCCACTCTATATTATCCTAACTTCTCCATACTACCTTACCTTACCACATCGTAACTCTCTCAGCTTCTCTACCTTACCTTACCATATCTGGAATTCTTTCAACTTCTCTCAACTTCTCTACATTACCTTACCTTACCTTACCAAATCTGCAATTCTGTGGACTTCTCTGCCTTACCTTGCCACATCTAAAATTCTCTGAACTTCTCTCAACTACTCTACTTTACCTTAACATACCATAGGCTGAGAATTCTCAGTGAAGTTTTGAATTGTGCAGTTCTTCTGACTTCTCATAGAACGAGTATTTTCTCCACTATGCAAAAAGCAGTGCTAACGGACCAGTCATAGGATCAGATCCCGACAATAACTGCCGATGTTTCAGCGGCTCTTGACTCCATATTAACGAAAGGATTTCCAGTCGCTACTTCAGAAGAAAGACCGCACATGGTGGTTTATGGTTTGGGGATTCTTACTTTGTTTCTCTTCTGTACAACCATGGTGATCATTATCTATCTCTGCAAAAGAAATAGAGAAAAGTTCATCGCCATTCCTCCTCTACCTATAATGACAGTACTGAAAGAGTAAAGAAAAATCCAGAGAAGACGGACGGTAAAAATATGTACATACTCACATTCCTCCGCTTATCAATGTAAATTTTTTGATCAATATAAGTGTTAATTATGTACATAACAGTCACATTAATTATTATTTATTATTATTTACTAGTCAAAATCATATGCCATATATTGAGTAGTATAAAAACACCTAAACAAGCTCGGAATATGTGTGCATAATATTTCGTTTCTTCTGCCATGTAATTAAAATTATTCATCGAAGAAGAGGATGTGATAGAGGAAATAAGATCAGCAATTGTGGTGGCAACTACCAGAATGGACGAAATAGATCACCAAACCCATACGACGCCACTGCAAATCATCGACAAGTCAATCACATGGTCAGTACCAGGGTAGATGGCGAAACAAACCGTCCACCACCCACCAGAAGCTGCTGCCATTGATGGAAATCCGTATACCACCACATCTGGAACAACAATTACGACTCAGTTTGGCTCAACGACGCCCAAGACGGAAAGGTCGACGAAAGAAACGATTAAACAAAAAACTATAAATTGTGACGTCCAAACTCATTTTTATTTTACTTTCGCTTTGTTGTTTTCTCTTAGGTTATGTTTTTCTCGTTCTCTCTCCTGGATATCGTTTTGTTTTCATTTCGGTGCAGGAGCACCCCATTTTTCTGGTGAGAGCAGATGTAAAGGACCGGTATCTTCTTTAGTCCTTCAGCGCTTACTGTTCATTCTCTTTCTCATCCTCTCTTGTTCATTGTCAACTCTATATTGTATTCTCTCTCCTGTATTTCACTCTCTCTATATATTTCATTCTCTATTCTTTGACCGTTCATTGTTCACCTTCTAGTAGACATCGAACAAAGATGAGAAATGTAAAAAAATGTATTTACAATTTCTTACAATTTCTTACGTTTTACATTCTTTCGCAGCAGCTGACCAGAAGAAAAAGAGAACGTAGATAAAAGACGTCTCTATTTTTGTTTTTCCGTTCTATATATATCTTGCACATTGAGAAACTCTTGTCTTTTAGTCAGTCAAGATTCCGTTATTTTTTCTCTAAGTATCTTTTAAAGTTTTTTCTCCCATTTAGCAGGCGAAAGAGAAAAAATAACGGAATCCTGACTGACTAAAAGACAAGAGTTTCTCAATGTGCAAGATATATATAGAACGGAAAGACAAAAATAGAGACTTTGTAACAAATGTAGCAAAAATGAAATGGCTTAGTTTTTTCTGCTTTCACACACTGAAATTGCTGTGTACTTACTACAATTTTAGTTATATATTATTTAATATTTCAAACTTATATATTCAAACAAAACATTAAAAAAAGCAGTGGATGGCTGCAATAGACTACACGATAAAGTGATCTTAACACTGCGATATCAAAAAAGAAATGACTATTGAAAGAAAACATACACGTTGTGTATACAATACGTTAAAGATAAAAGAAGAGAACAACGTAACCATGAGCATAACACACATACACGTGGCCTGTTCTTTCTTTTTCTCACATGTTTTTCATGTGTTATGTAAGTTCAGAAAGATAATATAAAGTATAGCACAGAACAGTCAAGACTAGCGACGCGATGTTTTAAAACTCCTCTACTTAGACCGCAACTCAGCGATAAAAATCGCGACTCGCGACGCGACTACGCAAGTCTTTTGAAGAAAAGCTTGTTACAACAAGAGTCGTGGCGCGACTAAGCAGAGTAAGTCTGTTAAAATTCGCGATCACAACAGTCGCGCCATGACTCTTAAAAACTGCTCTTCTCGCCAGATAAGAATTTTTCAAGATCCCGCCGCGACTTCGCGAAAAAGTTTTCAATGAATTAAGACTTTCTTAAGATCTTGTCTCGAAAGCGTGACTTTATAGCGATCATGCCGTGACTGATGGGAGTTCATAGCGATCGCTATAGCGACAGCGCGATCGTTATAGCGACAGCGCGATCGCTCCGCGAATGTGGCATGACAGTTGACCTGGGTAGTCTATAATTCATTCTCGCTCCTAGATTGTTCATTTTCTCTCTTCTATAATTTCCATTCATTATCTCTTACACTATATATGCTCGTGAACATAAGGATCCGTTTTTATGAATAAACGTACGAAAGGATCAATTTCCTTCACATGTAGTTGTTGAAATTCTTATTTATCTCAAATACAAAATTCACACATTTTAAGTTCTTTTCATTGGAGAACTTAGTGGCTTGACGATTAAATGGCTACGACAGGTGCAGACAGTACAAAAAGATATAGACACTTAAACAAAACGATCTTCATCACCAAACGAAAGTCGAAAATCGAGTTTGGAAACGAACGAAACGTTGGTCTGTTTCGGTAAAAGATTTAAATCGTCTTTGAGAGCAACAAAACATAAACCAACAACGTTGTCGTAGTCAAAAGCAGACAACAACAGCCAATGACAAATAATCAAAAGTACGAAAACAATGCATAAGAAAGACTTAACCTTTTTATATAGAAATCTCATTAGCGTTTTTGTTTTAGTTCTTCATATGTTAAAAGTACACTTAGTAAAGCTGTCAAAAAAGTAATTAAGGCTTTACCAAATAATCCAGCTAGACAGAAACAAGATTTACAGAGTGTACGCCAAAAAATTAGTTTATTTCCAAAACCAATTCATCAACGTCCAGCATTAAAAACATGTGATAAGATCAAAGATGTTGTTGTAACATTTTATACACGTGATGATATTTCATGGCAAGTCCTAGAAATGCGTGATTATGTTGTTGTTAGAGACGATGGTCAAAAAACACAACATCAAAAACGTCATTTAATGTTCAATCTTCACGAGGCTTATGAACTATTCGTATCTGAAAATCCTAGTACGACAAGTTCTCTCTGCTGCTCGTGCATGATATGTTGGCAATACATGTGTTGTGATTATTTCTAACGCGCATCCGCGGCAGATAGAAGCCGTCTTCTCTATTTCAATATCGATCTTAAGTGACACTGATTTATCTCTTTATTTTGAAACTTTTCACATTTGCAAAGAAACTTTCGAACAAGAAAGTTTTCTTCTCTCAACCAGTTTTTTTTCTTGTTTTGTTTTGTATCATAAACTCTACCCAAAC